GGTCCCTCCCTCAGCCTTTCCGTATGAAAAGGCAAAAACAAACAAACAAACAAAAGACTCCCTCTGTATGCTATAGACGCCACCTGGTCTTAAAAGAAATACCGTTTCCTGGGAGAGTCCTCTGAGCCCTACCATGGGTCAAAACCGGCTTCAAAGCGGACAGGAGGCGTTTCTGTTCTTTCCGAGGCGTGCCGTAGCTGTCCTAGCTGTGCTGACGCATCTTTTATTAAAAAATAATAATAATTCCCACGTCAGGCAGATATCCTCACGTTTCTTCCGGTTTCACCCCCCCCCTCCGTTCTCGGTGCCGTTTTGTCAGTGATTCTGGTGAAAATTAAGCCAAACGGAGCAGAAAGGCAGCGTAGGAGCAAAAGACATTAGTCAAAGGAAATTAGTGAAAGCAAAATTAAAAAAAAAATCAGCTGACCGCTTACCCTAAAAAAAGAGTAAGCGGTCAGTTGATGGTCCTTCCCTAGGTTAGTTACAGATGATTCTGGGCGCATAAACAAAAAAGGTCAATAAGTTAGATTGCAGTGAGAACAAGGTAAGCAGGTTTATTTACAAAAATATTTGTCAGGCAAATCTGCTGAAAAATCGTAAGCACTAAATGTATACGGAGTGACCATTAACGCTGGAGCGTTATTGATGTAGACAACTTTCCATTTAAATCTCCGTGTGTAATTATTGAAGACAAGTAGGTACGTCTGAGTCGTTCAGAGGAGAGAACTGGGCAATCGCTATTGCCAACCAGGAGACCCTCTAGATGCCATTTGAGCTTTATAAATACAATCCAAAGTGTTTCATACTTTGAATTTGTATGTCCCTTTAAGATATTAAATGTGTCAGTATTTATTTATTTTTATTTTTGAGAGCGCTGTCTGCTGTAGGCGTGCTCAGGTCACTGCCTAGATATGAATACTGACACACAGGGGAAACTCTCCGTATAGAGAAAAATGGGTTGGCGGAGACTTTCACTGCTGGAGGGAAACTGTTTCCATGAGGATGTAATCTGTATCTGTATAACACTTTTCCTTTTTTTATTTGCAGCTATATCAGTCAAGAATCACACTTCTTACTACCACTACTTCTGATAAAAATCCATGAAGGAGACTTTACGTGAGTCCTTCTGCTTCTCCACTGGATTGCAATATCAGGGCCTCAGTTTAGGAATTGTTTTCTGTGACATGGACACCTGTGTAGCAGAAATTGTTCTCAAAACATTATTATTTGGTGACACATATATGTGACATATGAATTTAGTGGATTTTTGAACCATTCTTTATAGCAGCATGTAGATAGGCTTTTTTTTCCTTTGCTGGTTATTAAACCCATCTAAAATCATAGTAAAAGAATATTGATAAGAAATCCTTAGCATCAAAAATCCTAGCCCAAGGATTTTCGAGGTTTTTTTAAACATATCTCAAATAGAGTGTCTGATTAGTGTGACTAAGTAGCAAGAGTCAAAATGACCCATTTATTTATTTTCGGAAGCTGTCCTGTGTGCAGATAGTTCACAATTAGTTTGGGGTCAGCTTTTCAAGTGAAAGTTAAGTCACCTGCAGAGATGTACTTTCTGTACATTGATATATAAAAATTCTGCAAAGCTGCTTTTAATATGAGAGATTATTGCTCATTGGTAATGCCAAGGACCTAGAGATCACATTAAACTCAGCTTTATATTTTAATTGAAGACATAAGAATGTTAAATTTTACTGTTTAATGCTGTGAATGTGAAGCATTTCAAATACATATGTATGCATAGTACATAAAATGTAACCTAAATTTATCCATCTCCTAAATTAAGTAATACAGACTCGGAAAATCACCCCAAGACAGGTTTGTCCTTAGTTTCAATGTGATGCTTCAGAAACTGTTGTCACTTGCAGTTCATTGATCAGAGCTAACTGGATGTTTCCCTAACCTCAAAGTGGCTAACACAAGTATTTTTTCATGAATTTTTCACGTGTGTGTGTGTGTGTGTGTGTGTATGTGTGTGCATGTTCAAGACAAAATCTACCGCCCTCTTTCTAGCTGTTTGCAAGCAGAATGGGTTTCAAATGGTATTTTCTTAAATTTTGAAGAGCAATCTTTGTAATGTTGTTATTTTGGAACACAGGTGAGCAGTAAGCCAAAGTGGAAGGCCAAATTATCCTATAAATAAAATCTTGCTGGTGAAAAACTTCATATTAAGGTTATTCATATACATTCCTATTGCTACGTGTATATTGAGTAGTACTGCTGGACTCTGCTAAATCTACTGATTGTTCTAGAGAGAAAGCTTTTTATGGTTGTTGGGAAGTTTGTGCGTACCTCTCTTGAGAAAATGCATAGAGATCTCAGTATTGTAACTACTTACAGAAGATGAGTTCAGCTATTACTGAAGATGCTGCATGTATTATTTTGTATGCTTTCTCTTAATGCTCTTTGATTCAATAGAAATGTTTGTCAAGGTTCCTGACTCTAAGTCTATTTAGCAGGAATCCAGCTGTTTGGAAAAATGTGCTTTAGCCATTTGCAGGGAATTCCTTAGTAAAGTCTCAGGGACACAAGTAAACCATTAAAAATGCTATATTTCTCTTAACATGCCCGGTGCAGTGGGACCCCCACTTCCTTGCAGCAATTCATAAAAACTTGTATGCTTTTCCCTGCAAAAAATCCAGTTCATAACACTCCATATCGAGTTTAACTTCTTCACCCTAGGAATGTATATGGGTATATTTCTGGTTTTGAAAATGTTGTCTTCGTGTGTGTTTGTCCCTGTTTGGGATCTTGTCTGCCTACTGTCCTGCCCGTCTGTTCAGATGGCTTTCTGCCCGGATTCACAGTGATGTGTCAACTGTGGTAGGGTGCAGTTGCTAAGGAAGAGGGTTTGGATAGGGTGCGGCCGTAGTGTTGTGAAGTTTGGCGTGTTTATGACAACACGGCATTTGGAAAGGAGTATATTCCACCAGCTTCCGTTTGGTCACAGTTGTCACCAAATCTACTATGTAAACCTATCTGAACTTTGTAGAGAAAAAGGACATAGTGGTCTGAGAGAGATGCAGTTGCTGAAAAAGAAACTAATTTTTGGAACAGCAGTAATACCAAGAGCTCTCAAAGGATACCTGCAGGACAAAATAAATGTTATTCATGACTTTCCAAGCTTATAGATTCCCTAGGTCAAATTCTGTTTTCAGTTGGACGCTTGCGGTGCCTTTTTGAAGTCAATAAACTAGACTCCTTCTGGCAGAATTGAAAATAAGCCAGAGTGGCTTCTGAGAGTGCCAGGGGTGCGCAGACTTACTCTTTTTACAAGTAAGCCACATGGCTAAGTCCAAAATACAGCTTGTATGATTTCCTTGTAAAATGGACATCCAGGTAATTGCATCTTGCAGTAGTTCACGATATTTTATGACTATCTGTAATTATTTTTTGGTTTCAGCATATATTTTGCATGCAAGATCCGAAGAAAAGAATTAATTCGGTAATTACAAGTCCCCTTGTTAAGCATGGATGTTTACCCATTTCTTCTTCTTCTTACTCATTCCTTGACACAGTAATAAGGCGTAAGATGGGAAGTTAATTCAGTTCTAACTACCTAAAGAAATTAATTAGAATTCCCATTTCCCCAAGTGTACTTGAATTTACTCTGTCATGTCATTTGAGGGGTTCATTACAATACTTTGTGGAATTGCTCTTGCTAAGAAGAATTATTATCTTGTGTTATACAGTTCGGAAGGATTTTGGTTTTTTACTGACATTTACGTTTTGTTGACTTCATAATGTTACTAACCATTATAGATCCATCTAAAAACCTGTAATTTACCTATTGTCATATATGTTCCATCTGCTACATAAACTATATACTTAGTAATATATGTTTTGGAAACAGGAAGGGGTGGTGAGTTATGAAAAAGTGAGTGTCAAACTCTATTTTTATAAGAATATTGGATTTTTACAGTAAAGACTGTTGCAATGTTAGAGTGGCTGAGAAATCATAACAGCACTTCTTTTCCTTTCAGAAAAAGATTTACTTTCGTAAGTTACGAAAATATGGGCTGTCTGTTTCTGTCAATCATAAAAATGTTTCTAGGTATATTTTTCCTCTGTGAAAACCTAAAGTATCAAAATAAGTCATATAAAGTAGTTCTTAACGCAATCTTATGTTTGGAGATACAACCACAATCTTTAGAGTAGGCACTGGATGATCGTGACATTCAGTCTTGTTTCTAATGTTGAATCTTTCTCTAGTAGAGAAATCACTTAGGCCTACATTCTTGCAGTTACTGGCAACCGGATACTCATATGCAAAAATATTTGGGAGTGTAACTCTTGAAAGCAATGAGATCTGCTTTGGTGGATTCTGTAATATGATTTGGTTTTTTTCTGAGAATATGGCCTTAAACAAAGTCCTTGTTGCTTCTTTTGCATGTACTTTTAGTCAGTCTCACAGACTTCATTGGCCTTGATTTTTTAGAACTGCGAAGCCCTAACAGTTCCCATTTGTATCAATTCTGAGTACTGGAAGTCATGTGGAACTCAGCACTTCCGTGTCTGATGATAAGAGCTCAAAAATTAAACACCTTAACTATGAAACCACATTTTAAAACCTAGATTAAAAAAATGAAGTTTAAAATCCGCAACATGAAAATGGTATTACAGTTGGCTCTTGAGGTCCTGGGGGGGATGGATTGCCTCGGGTGCCCTTTTCATCACCTGCATTTCACAGTGCTTCTGGCTATAGAAGAATGCAAGATACAAAGTTCCTGTTACTTGTTCTAGATCCTGTTTTGTCCGGTACTGTTTAAGGCTGCTTTTTCTATCTCAAAAAAGTTCTTGAAAATTTTTTCTAAGAAAACACTTTTATCTAAACTTTCTTCTGTTTTTGATGAAGTTTTGAGGATTGCAATGCATTTCACCCAGATAAACCAAATTTAAGATGTTCTGTACATTTGAATATTTATAATGAATATTTGTAATTATTTATTTTTAAATGCATTTGCTGGAAGGTAATGTATCAGGGAAACGACACATAATTAAATGTGCAGTTAAAGAACGGATTTATGTTTGTTTATATTATTCTATTTGTTTACTTTAGTACCTGTTATATTTGCTTGTGTGTTGTAAAATGTCTTCGAATCCACTATCTGAGTCGACTTTTAAGGAACTGAGTACTTTCTTACATTTTTCTTATTGTCTTCTGTTTTAATGGCGAATATATTTTTTCAGTCTTGCCCATCTACTATAAATATATCAAGGTATATGAGTATTACACATGTTATATTTAAATGCATAGATGTGTACATACATATGTCTGTATTTAAAAAATAGTAACTTGGAACACTGCCTTGCACATGCTTTCCCCCATGAAAAGGGTGAGACCGAAAAGCATCAAATTATATCATTTGATACATAAACCCTTGCATACTATTATGATGAGCTTAGGGTAGAAACTAGCCTAGAACAGAGTAGAGCAGAATAGAATAGAACATAATAGAATAGAATAGGACAGACTAGAATAGAACAGAACAGAACAGAATAGACGCTATAAATAGTGGCTTATTATGTTGCTGTGCGTGAGAGCATTGCAGAGGTTGTTACTTCTTTTACAAAATATTTTCCTTTAAAATGATATTCTCCTGGATGACTTTCCCTGTATGTTGTTTCTAAGCGGTATCATCTAAAACCAGCATGTTATTTGTTGGTCTTATCAGGGTGGATATGCATTGGCAGAGAACGTACGTTAACTGCTTACTCATTGTATAGAGAGCAGTGCCTCTGTTAGTAACCCAGTTGCTTTTGAGCCTGAGCTATTAAAGTCACTGTACGGTAGAAAGTCTTCTAGATCTACTTTAGATTGATTCATTTACTGTATTTCAGAGTTCTTTTGCAATTCTTAGGTGAACAATGAAGGTTCTGTTATTGAAGGACCCCAAAGACAAAGATTCAGGACCAGATCCATATGTTAAAGTGAGTAAACTTAAAAAAAAAAAAAAGAAAGAAAAGTAAACATTTGTGTCATTTCACTATTAAATAATAGTGTGATGCAGTTCAGGAAGATAGATGAATCTAACTGTTTCAAGTGAAAAATTTACATAATCTAAGCTCTCAGGAAAGTACTGGTATTGAGACAAGTTCATTTTAATTAATATTCAAATTTTTCATGTAGATAAAATTATGACTACAAAAATTTTTAGCGGTTCTATTAGGAATGTAACGTGAAAAAGAGGTTACATGTTGCTGAGGTGCTTCCTGCTATTGACTTTATTCCTGTGGGTATTTCTTACTTGTAAAAGTGCTTATACTGTCTTTAAAGAATTAAAAATGTACAAGAATATTTGCAGGACTAGGAGATCATTTGTCACATAGGGACTTTAGGGTTATGTGCTGATTTATACTGTAACTATTCAGTAGCTACACAAGACCTCAGTTCCACTGCTTTTGTTCAGTATTATGCAGTAAAACTAAATTAACTAGTTTCATTAGTAAAATAAGATGCCTGTGGATTTTAGTTTAGGGAAAAAAAAGAAATATTTGTGCAGATCTGGTCCATTATTTTAGAAAGAAAAAACTGCTGTTTGAAATGTATTCAGCAAATATATAAACTTTTTCCATAGGAATTAGGATTATATGGATTTGAAGCAACTTTGATTCCAGTTTTGTCATTTGAATTCATATCACTTGAAAGCTTATTTGAGAAGGTAAGATTGAAGTTATTTCAGTTGTCACATTTTTAACAGAAATCAGGCCATGATTGCCAAGGTGCAGTGTCTTATCTTGTTTTAATAATACTCCTGCCCCTTATAATACCTCTTTGTGTGTTTATTTACAACTCTTTTATGAGATCAGTTTCCAAGCATCTGGTCCTCTTATATCCATAAACCTAAAACAAATACAAACCTTTTAATTTAGAAACTTAGGAAGGTGGAGTCCTTGCTGATATTTTGTTTGGCTTTTTTGCTTTGTTTTGAAAGCCCCTTTATCTCAATCAAATTACTCTAGAAGTTTGAACAAAGAAATAAACCAGATGCTATTGGATGTGTCAAAATGCGAAGCCAAGGTTCCAAGGTGCAAGTCCTCAACTAAGAATGAGTAACAGTATGGTAGGAAAAGAAATAACCTAGGCATGCGTTCAAAAAGTGCGTTTTGAATGTAGCTCTTAGAGAGAGGATCTCTTAAAATGCAGGTTATATCATTCAGAAGCATTTTGCCATTTTGTATTTCTTAACCCTGGTGCTGACTTTAGACTTCTGTATTATCAGACTTTATATCTATAATGTACAAAGCTACTGTAGAATGGGTAGTTTCAGCCCAGCAGCAAGCTTGAAAAAGATGAAAAATCAAGTGGAACAAGCATCCTGTTCCTGCACACATTATGTTATTGCAACTTAATTAATGGATTCACTCAGAGACATGTTAGTGTTAAGAGTAAAGTACAGAAAGGAGAATCTTGATAGATTTTACATTTACTTAGCCCTCACTATTAATGAGAAAGAGTCTTCCTTCTACCGTAGGTCACAAGCAAGAGATTTTTTTGTTAAAATGTTTTTAAAATTTGGAAAACAAAGGTGTTAACTCTTATCCCCATCTGTGTGAGGCTTCTGAAGGTTCAAGGAAGAGATTAGAGTCACTTAAGGAAGGTATTAAGCTGAAATGTTCTGTTCCTAAAAGTTCATTTGGCGTGCACAGTGTGTTTTCCAAGTGCTTCTAGCAGTTACTGTGGAATGGGTAGATTGATTAGCAAACACTTCTACCTGCCCTCTCTCATGTGCACTTGTTCCATAAGCTTGGCAATACAGAATTAGACTTTTCAAAAATTATGTGGTCCATACTTGTTAAAGAGTTAAGTTGGCCAGATATAATTTCACAGTTAGGTTTATGAACCATAAATAATCATAGCTATTTTAGCATTTTTTTCACAACAGCAAAAAAGTAGAAGACTGTAGTGACAACTCTAAAAGTTAGCAGAGGTTCACTCTTACATTGCACAAAAATTTTGTATGGCATCTCCTAGTTATCTGGAATAAAGTTGCATAATTGCTGTTCTCTTTCTACTCTTTCTTAAATCTATTTATTTCATTTAAAAATATTGAAAAGGTTTTCTGAGGGGGTCCTCTTTACTGAGGATCTCCACTAGCACTTAATTTTTTGAATGTTTGGATGCCACACAATCTGCATTTAGAAGTGATCAAAGATTGTTTTTATTTTTCTTTTCTCCTTTTTGAAGAGCTTGTTAGTAATCTTAACTGTTCTGTTTGTGGGCAGCAGACAAGGGGCTATCTGGTAGTACCATCTGAGTTGCTACCTGGAATAACAGTTGATTTCCCTTGTATGAATTTCAAGTACCTCATATATTTTTCCACCACCTTTTAGCTCATTTCAGTGTCGCGAATCCTTACTCATTCCACAGATTTTCAGAATTAATATCATGTATGCAAGTTATGTTCTGAATTCAGTATTTGTTATGCATTTCTCTTATAAATACTCTGGGCTACTAATGTTAATCAGCTTAAATGTTTGCCTATTTCAGTTTCAGATATTTATTGAAGGGTTTTTATTCTTAACAAGATTTTAAAGAATTGATCCAATTTATTTTTGTACTCATTTTAAATTTTCTTCTTAAATTTATTGTTGGTGAGTAGCTCTCTCATCCGGAATGTTATGGAGGTCTAGTTTTTACTAGCCCAAGGGCATTAGAAGCCATCAAGATATGTTTAAAAGAGAATAGTAAAAGTGAAGGTAAGTGCACATTTGTATTCCTGGGTTTTTCTATTTTAGTATTTCGGGAATTTTGTTTTTTTATCTCTCCCATCACTAGGTATTTGGAGAGATAACCCTTTTTACAAAAGGTTTTATCTCATAGTTCTTTTGACTTCATAAAGGCCCAAAGTTTCCTCATGCTAAGTTGAACTTTTAAGGGACTGAGGGTTGGTTACTCCCCACTGATACTGTTAGAAATAGCAGGAAAAAGCTTTTGGTACAGATTATTAGAGTGGGCTTTTCTCCTCATGAATCAATTGTGGTTATCTTTGCTGATGCTAAAAAGAGGTGTAAACAGAAACTCAGGAATTTGTTTATGTTTTTAAAGCCTAGTTTTAGATGCCTGGTTTTGCTTACTAAACATTTTTGCCCCTGAAAGGCAGGGAACATATTGTAGAAATTGACCAGTGCAATTTCTGTGCTTTTATAATTATTATGAAGTCTTACTGAAAAAGAGACCTCTATGTCTTGAGAATGATATTTCTCAAGTAAATTAAACATTGGCTAAAAGACAGTGAAGAAAACATAACAGATTAGTTGTGAAGAAGAATCCTGTAGAATGCTAAATAGAAATTGCCATATCAATGATCTATCAAATATTTTTAAATTATTCTAAATTCTTTTGCTCAATGATTACTTCTGGCATTGAGTTCATAAGGTTATTTACATATATATATAAATTACTTTCTTTCATTATTTTATCTGCTCCCTATGCAGGCTGCAGTCATACTAATGATGAGTGAGTAACACTGTATGCTTGCTGTTACGCTCTTCGGTATGCAGTGAATACACTGAGACTATTAGCTTATTTTAGCACTTTCAGCAGAAGAGGGCTATCTTTCAAGATTTTGGGGTGAGACAATGTGTTTTTATACAGAGTGGATCCCTAATCCTGACTAGCGCTTTTGGGAGCTACAGAAATGTATAGTTTAGTCAGTAATATGAATCTTCTGTTCCTGTTTGGATTCCGTGTAAACCTAGTCAGTCCTTACCTTTTCCATTTTTCCTTATATTTTTCCATTCATCTGATCATTTGTACTGTTGTTGCAGTGCCTTTTTTTTGAAGAATACTATAAATGAACTCTATGCCCTATGCTATACTGGTTTTAGACAGGACAGTAAAGGACTTCCTGTATCTATTTCTGTCCCATTAGGATTTCAGGCATAGCAGTAAGGTAGTTAGATCCAAAAAGTGTAACCCATAACTTATTTCATGTCTGGAGGAGGAAAACTATTTCCTCTTGATTTTATTTTGGTCTCTGGTATATTTTACTCCTGAGTTGATAAATTATTTTTGGTGTATATATAAAATACAATCAGTTTCTAAATTTCTCTTGTGTAAGAACAAGACTTGCTTTATAAAGTATTCCAGTGCATGAATATAGATTTTAGCCCTTTGATTTGTTGTCATGGAGGATTATATTTATTCTTTGTTTGGTAAAGTCTTCAGTTTTTAACCTACATCTCTATTGAGTACTTAAATTGCACAGTAAGAAATTTACCAGTTTGTATGTCTAAATATCACTTTCTACTATATGCTGTCTTTTTCTACAAGTTTGCTGTTTTTTGAATAATTAATTAATGCCAAAATATAAAGGAACATTGCAAGTTGCATGTGATCTGGCACAGGGCAAGTGCATTAAAAATGCTACTTAAAAAAAAGCAGCTAAGAACTGTTTACTCAAATAAAGCTTTTTGAAACATGTTGTAGACTGCTGTTTACACAATGAAGAAATGCAATATTCTATTTATACATCTAGATTTGCTGAAGTATGTACTGGAATATTACTTGTTAGTATTTTCCTGTATTTTCAGATTTAAACAGAAGTTCAAATACCCATTTAGCATTCATGTTTTGTTGCCACATACTTAAATTTAATTTAATGTTTTACAGTCTGGTCCAAATCCCTTAAACAAAGATGGAACACCAAACCAGCATATGTGGTAGGAAAAGCGACAGCTTCTCTAGGTAAGCTGGGGTTTTTAAAAAAAGTCTCAGATAAATTTGTCTTTTCAGTATAGTTTCTAGAGTGTTAGTTGCTCTTCCAGAGCGCTAAGAAAAATAATACAGGTAAGTTTTATAAATGGATAATTTTAAAAATAGACAATTTAATACACATTAGAACGATATGTGTTTGCTTCAGCTAGGGATTTGGCTGTTGTTTTTCCATTACTTTTATTGTAATGTGGTAGTAGTTACTTTAATTTAAAAATGTAGTCAAAAAAGAAAAAAAAATTGTCCTTAATTTGCATATTTTTTCTTTACTCACTTTAGAAATGGAATTATATGAAAGGAATTATAACGTGCTTGTCTGATTTTAAGAAATTTGATGCACTGACCTATTCCTCCTTCAGTGTTTTACTGTAGGTATGAAAGAAAGTTTAAAAACTCTCCGAAACAAGCTTAGCTATCCCCAGAATTCTTCCTTTGTACTCATGTTTTTCTTTCTAGAGCCAAAATCAAATCTTGCATAGCAAGTTATTACTTATAAGTGCTATGATTTTCTGTTTTTTAAAGAAATTTTTTTATGCTTGGATGAAGTTGGGTCTCCTTTTTCAAAGCACGTTTTTTATGACAATAAACCTGAATTGTTCTTATTCAATTCAAATAAAGTTTTTGTTTGCTACTTTTGGTTATAGTGGAAGAAATTGGCCTTGTTCCACATGGAGAAAAGTCTGGCAATGCTGAAAAATTAGCTGACTATATTTGCTCAAGTAAGTATCCAAAATCTTTGACTTAAATTAAGATCACGTACCTTAGGTTTTTTCAGAATTCCCAATAAATAAAATGTTTCTTAGTGTGTACACTGAAGCAGAGATATACATACTGCATACAGGATATACATCTTATATGCAGAATCTCTGAATTCAGTTTCTTGGAATACTTGTAATATCTCTAAAAGGCGCTAAACAATATTAAATTGAAATACATATACAAAATATTAATTTACATGACATCTTAGACTCAGTAATTAATTAAAAATATTGTGTGACCCAGTAGGCAAAGTGTCTTTTACTTAAGGTTCAGAGCTGTAGAGATTGGGAATTGCTGCTTAATCGTAAGATTTAAATGATTGTAATTAGGGGTGTGCTGATTCTCTCTGAATTTGAATGGCCTGACTTTCCTTGCTTTAGAGTGGGTGATGCTGGGGATCTTTCCCCATGCCATAATTCTAAGTAGATAAGGGGAACTCTTTTCCTGACAATGAATATGTGGTTTCAGAGGAATCTAATTTTCAGCACTAAAGGAGGGTGGCTTTGAAAAAGTTGGAGAAAGGGATAGTTATAGTGATGACGACTTACATTTTGTTTACTATTTTGTTATATTTGAAGCTGTAAAGCTGATCCATTAGCTGTTTCTAAGTGTATATCAGATTGTTGGATATTCCTCATAATATCCACATTCAGTTTAGCATTTGTCAGTGGAAGCATTCATTTTGAAAGTCTAGCTAATGTACTTCTTAATTCTTTTTTTTTTTACAGCAATTTTTTAGTTGTGTGTGATAGACATGAGTATTGGGTCTCTGACAACTCCATTATCAGAAATTTACAATTTCCAACGGTAATAGGAAACATTTTGTAGGCTTAGGGGCTGGTTAATTTTCGAGTGGATAGGTCAGTACAAGCTGTGAAAAAGAGGCTGTGTATTTGTACAGTTGGGGTTATATAACTGGGGTGAAAAATGTCAAAGTGGGAACTGCCAGAGCGATGAGGTTGGCCTGAGAGCTTCTAAAGTATGTAGTGTTACAGGGAATTCATGACTGACAAGCATGTGTCTTCAAAATGTGTCCATATCAGTGTCGGAGGGGGAAACAGTTACCAAAATAAGTCAGCAGAATTAGTCCCCAAAGGCTTTGGAATTCATTGCTAAAATCCTCTCTGTAACAGTCTATATGAAACGCTCCTTAAGGTTTGGTATCTCAGCAATAACCCGTTGAATGATAGAGTCTCTTCTGCAGTTTCATACAGCCTTGGGTGCATCCCCAGTGCTGTAAAAAAACATGGAACTGTGTGGGGAAGCCCCAAGTGAAATTAGAGGGTACCTGATACAGAGGAATGTCCTTCGCTGAATGACTTTCTGCCCCAAACTTACAAGGGGAAAGAGAAACGTTCTTCTAGAGACTCATGCACTGGTTAAACAGAGAAGACCAACATTTGAAAATCCATTTTACTCAACCAGTCAAAGGAAGATAGTCCACCTTGGTTAGCCCCATTCAGAACCAGATGAGAGTCAGTGGAGTTATTCTAGATGTTGGGTGAATTATTGCGTCTGCTGCTTTAAAAGCCTTACTTTACCGCTTTCCTGACTAAGGTGCTTAGGTACTGCAGAAATGGAAATGGCATTAAGAACCCTGATAGGTTACTTTTGGCTGTTGGGCACAACATTAGATATGAGAGAGGTGTTTATTAGCAAAGTCTTCTCTGTAGCAGAGATTTATAGGTGAAAGAACAATGTGAATGGAGCTGGTAAGTATTTTTTGCTTGCAGACAGTGTTGTGATTAGTGAATAAAATATTTTAACTGTATGGAATATTTCATAATGAAAGTGATAGTTGCCAACACAAGATGAAATGATAATTTCTGACAATTAAAAATGAAATGGTAATCTTTTTCAACACAAAATGCCATGAATGAAGAATAACCCTCACCTACTTTTCAACAAATCATTCAAAACACAGATAGATTTTAGCTGTTATATTTTCTTTAATGCCAGGAAATCTGTTTTTGTTCATGAATTAATATTTGTCAGTTTGCAGAATAAGTGTTTCTTGGGAATGAAGGCAAGAAAAATACCTGCCTCATGTGTTGTGTTAATGTGAAAAAACCTGAGGCCAAAGCCAAAGAATAAAAACGCATGTACAACCAGGGGCTGGATCAAAAATGAATTAGATACCTTTAGGTCTCTTCCTGTTATCAGATTTCCTAGCCTAAAAAAAAAAGTCCTTTAAAAATTGTATTGATTGTCCCTAAAAATGGTGAATTACAGAAACAGAAGTCTGTCTGGCACAGACAGATGACTGTGCTGTTGCAATAGTTACAACAGTGTCTCTGGAAAAAATAGTGTCACTATTATGTAGGTTCAGAAGTTTACAAAGGCATGAAGAGGACTGAGTGGAAACCAGACATCAGATTGAGTTAAAAAAAAAAAACAGAGATTTTTGAAACTTTCCAATCCCTTGTTGGTGAGTCTGCAGCTTGCACAATTGCTGCATCGTACCCTCTTCTTGGTTACTTTCTCAGTCCAGCTGAGGATCATTCTGCCTTTCTCCTCTCCTGGGAGCTGCCCGATACATGTGCCCTGGGGTTTGTACTTCTGACCTTGTTTGGTCCATAGCTGTTTCCCAGTTCGGAGTGCTCCCTCCTGCAGAGGTGGGTGGGAGCTAGCAGTCGCAGAGGGAGCTAGGCAGGGAACAGCACTTTTCGGAGCTCTTCCAGAGCCAGCAGCTGCTTCCAATAGCCAGCAGTGGGAAAGAGAGAGTTATGTGCTTTACAGCATTTTACATAGAATGTGCTGAGCAGAGGGCAGTTTCATACCAGAACACCCACAGGCTATTTAAGGAAACCCATAGCTGTAAGACTTCCGTTATCCTTGCCAAAATGACTGCCTTTGAACACCCTTCAGCTTAAAAACCAACCAGGAAATTTCCATCACTGGAGACTGCTTGTTGTTGATACAGATATAATCAACATCAGTGATTTATTGGATCGTGCATATTTATGCTCAATTTATCAAACTGTTTGTAGTAATCTCTGAAATACAGATTAAATTAATGTTCCCTCTTCTGTACATATTTATTTGTGTTTATTCATAAAATGATAAGAAGTAAATGAAAAGACTAGCTCTAAATAGAGCAGAATCTTTATATCAATACAATTTATTGTCAGAATAAAGATAAAATCTGAAGCAGTGATATTTCTTTTGTTTTTCACTTTATCTTTGGTACTGACTTCAAATTAAGTGATTGGGAAACATACAGGAATTGATCGTTTTAGTTTCGTTAGTTTCTTTTCAAGGCAAATATTGTTTAGTTTTATTAGAATGTAACATTTGTGTTGGTTACAGAAGGAGGGGATACGGTCAGGGCCAGTGCTTGTTGTGTTGTTCAGAGCTATCAAGCTATTCTTCTGTGCTTTATAAACACAAGTCAAAAAGGATTAGTGTTTCTTTTTGGATATCACATTGACATTTCAATTAACTGCCATGAGTTGTAGGAGGATTAATGTTGAAATGTTTTGCCCTTATCTTACTATTTTAAAATGTCTTGCGTTCTGTCCCGAGTTCACTCTTCCTTCCTCTAATTTATTAGAAACATTATCTGTGGTTCCTAGTAAAACTTTAGTGTACTATTTGGATATTCAAATATATCTGTGTTGACTCCTAATAAGATCTTTCCATTTGATTTTTACTATGCTACTCAATTTTTCCCAGAGGCATCTCTGATGCTTACTGTTATAAACCAAGAATCTACTAACTTAAAAAAGCACTTTAAAAAGGCGTTTATTTTTTCTGGTAGTCCTCAATTCAGTGTATGTATTAACATATCTGAATTAGCAATAAAGTAATAGGTGTTGAGGAACTTCCATTTGTTTTGAAAGATGAATGCAAAGCTGAGTGCAGCTGTACAGTATTTCATCTTGAAACTTCTTCTGTATTTCTGTTATTTATAGAAAAGGCCAACTGTAGGCAGAAGTCGTCTACTGTTGTATTCCTATCCTCTGCAGGTTCTAGCTGTATTTTAGGATAAAGGATTACTGATAATACAAATTTCAGTTTTCATTAAGGAAAACTATTTTTTCAGTTTCATTTATTTGTCATCAGGACTGCCTTTACACCTAAGCCAGGTGTTTGCGTTCACAATGTGCCCGTTATTCACTTTTTTCACTTCCAAGTTTTTTCACTTTCCTGTCCCCTCCTGTTTGTGGGTGTACGCACAGTCTACAGACAGGATGCTGCAGGAATGGAGATGTAACCCAAAGGATGGCTACATGAATACTACTATCTAGTAGTATTTTTTGAGCAGAATTTGTTTACTCCACTGATAATATAGTAGAAACATAGAAAACTTACAGAAGTTGCATCCCTGTAAGATGTAAACAATCAGGTATTGGAAAGGACCTTCTCCAAAGTCACCAAGATGCTTTCACCTGTTTGCAGTGGAGCAATAACTAAGGTGGGAGGTCTGCCATTTTAAAGGATAAGAGCAATGAGAGTAACATCTTTTTTTGCCCTGTGGAAAAAAGTAGATCTCAAGCAGGTTTGAAACTTTTCAGTGAAGTATTTCTGTCCTCTTTGTCTGCCTGAACTTTCTGTTATACAGGGAGAGCTGTCAGGGAGCTGTGCGCAGCTCACAGAGCTACAGATGTACTGAGTGAGACTCAGGTTTTAAATATAAACATTGAAGAAGACTGCCTTTCTGAAAAGGGGGAGATTACTTGCGTGGTACTTGTTTTCCCTTTGTAGAATGGTAAGGGGAATAGGAATGTAGTTTATCTTTTGCAAGATCTTTTTATTCATATTATAGTTCTAGAATATTTTTTAGTTTACATGCTAAGTAGCCTCTGTCCTCTGAATTGCAGATGCAGTTGTACTGCAAATGTTTTCAGTTATGCCAGGGCTGGGTCTGAGATGAAGCATGCAGCATTTGCAGCAACATTCAACATTTGATACCTTTAAAATCTCATGTGCTCTTTATTAGAAACATAAATTAATTACCAGTTTTTGTTTGTGTATTTACAGGAGAGAAACCTAATTCATCACCTCTTCTTTTTCCTTGTGGAGCCCTCAAAAGAGAAGTACTTCCTACAGCACTTAAAGAAAAAGGTTGAACTTCCCTTAGAGCCTCATTTGTCTGTTGTGGGAAAAGTTGCATCTGAAGATTGTGAATAAGTAAAAATATGTAAAATAAGGAAAAATAGGAATAAGTAAAAATTATGTTTGCTCTTATGCTGGCTAGAAGTTAGAGGATAACAATACAAACTGGTAGATTAGTGTGTTGTGCACAGCTCTGATATTGAGCTGTAATATGACTTGAGGAAGGTTATTTGCCTTTGTTCCTTGCCTTCGTTCTCATGTGTGATACAGAAGATAACTTATTCATGGTATGTTGCAATGCTTAGCAGTTTTCATAACATGCCTTGAGGTCCTCTGATTACAGATACTTTACTATATCTTGTAGCTCTCAAAATAGCTAGGAATCCTTCACAGAAATGTTTCTGTGTCTTTTAAATCTTTTTAGCCTAAAATAACACATTTAGGTGCCATTATTATGTTAAGATTGTTTTATTGAAATAATAGAAATTATCAAAACCCCGTTTAGTCATGAATGTGTATTCTGATTCCAGGTATACCTCTGGAAAGTCTTACCATTTATCAAACTACCCAACACTCGGATCTCCAGGAATCATTGAGGAGTTATTTCTCACAACAGGTATTGGACGCGGATATAATGTGAGGATTTTTGAGGTATATGGTAAAACCTAGTAAAATACATTCCTTTTTTTCAGCTGTCTGTATATGATATAATTGTGGTGATACAACAGTTTCCTGCATTTGCTGCTTGCAGATATAGAGAATAAGTCCCTCAGTTATTTGCTATGGCAGTAATAAAGGAGTCTGAAATACACAATGTCTCTGTTCAGAGAAGGCAAAACTTTTCACGTTTTGTCTAGATTTCAGAATACATTGATGTTTCAGAGTTATTGGGAAATAACTGCATCAATAATTACATATTCAGTTTATTCCTTTGAGCTGGAGAAAACTGAAGTCTTGAAAAGACTGCTTTTTAGATCACACCATGTTAGAAAATACATTTAATGAGACTATTCATTGAACAGCTTAATTAATTATTAATAGTTACTAATGTCACCATATTATCACTGGACGTGTTTGCCATATCTTACGAATCAAAATTCAGGAATCAGCCCTACATAGCTTCCGTGTTCCCTCTCTGATTATCGCATTTGTGAATATAGTAAAAAATTCATTTTAAGTGTTAAAATTCCTAGTAACGTGCTGTTGACCAGAAGTGTTGAGATGTATTTGCTAGACTTGTTATTAATGTTCCTCTTTCTTTAAAACTATTTATTAAATGTCATTAAGCTAGGATCAAGTGCACAGTAAAAGATTTGGAGCTACTGATAATTGCTTTTATTTTTATTTGTTAAAGCTCACTGAATTTTCCATTTGTAGGAGCCTACATTATATCTAGGATTTATTCAAACTACAACCTTTACCTCTCTACAGACACTTGGCCTGCCTAAGTATATTACTTCTCTTTTTGAAATCTGTGCATTAAGTTTTTGTTAAACTACATTTTGATTTCAAAGTTCCAGTTTTTCAACAAGTCCTGAAAGGCTATGGCCTGGCCAGTCAAAATGATATACTGTAGTATCCTGGTGTTCCTAGATGGATATTACAGTTCTAATCCCTGCAGAACTTAGTTTATACTAGTTACAAAATTCAGTCAGTAGCACATAGGGATTTTGTAACTTTCTGAGCTCTTATTATAGAACTCGTTATTTGCTGCAATTAGTTAAATCTGTTAGCTTCAGCATTAACACTAATAAAATACATTTCTCTTGAGCTTTTTAGTTGTTCTTAACTGATGATATATTGTGGTCAAATATTTGGTGCACGGAGACTTGATATTTAAACACTATACATAAATATTAAACAACGGTGTTTAGCACTTTGTGAGAAAATGCATTAAACTAGCATTCTGATCTCCATGAGCTAAGGCTAGCTTCCAAGTTATGCACGGTAAGATAACAACAGGTATAGTTTGAGCAGAGCTTGAGTATCTTCCTGGTCACACTCTCCTATTCCTTCAAACAGACAACCATGAAAAGAAGGCACGTGCTTTGGGTCTGCAGTAGAAGCTGGACCTTGACTCCAGATGGAATTTTTCAGAATTTTCTTTCTGGCTACAGAACGTTTCTGCCTGCTGTCTTCCAGCAGGCTTATTCTGAGAAAGCCATCGCAGTGGGCTGCAGGTGTAAGGCATCACCTTGTCTTTGCCAGGGCATCTCAGGGTGGGCAGAACTTAGGGTAAACCACGTAAGTTGGGAAACAGAGGGAGTATGTCCAGAGCTGAGATAGATGGGAATGGATTTAGGAAAATAACTTGTACCAATTTATTTCTAAACAGAAAAATGAGGACACCTCCAAAACACTTCCAATACATTTATCACCAAAGTGTGCTTGTGTGACAAAATATTTGGTTAAAATCACACCTGAATTTCAGCATTCCACGGTAGCATGGGTGTTTGGCAGACCACCTGCACCACAGGAAACCCTTTCTGTTGGCCTAACCTCTGTTTCTTATCAGTCAAAAGCACTGCATTTCCATATAGAGACAGGTGAAGAGATTTATGTGAAAGTGTACTGAATCATTGCTAGAACCGAGAGAAACCTAGTCCAACCTATGATTACTTTCACACAGGGAAATCCAGCAAGCATCGTGTTTTTCAGCCCGTCTGGTGTCAAGTTTTGCCTCCAGCACATTCAGAAGCTTTCTGGAGATTTTATCGACCATATGAAGGTATCATTTTTCAAAAATGGTGAATTTACTCTTCACGTTAGGAGACTTGAGGGATAGGAAGGCCATTATACCCCTTACAAACCTTCATGTTCTGCAGGAAATGCCAGGCTTTTTGTGTTTATTTCTCTGAAACTCAGGTTATCCTATGTTCTGGCTGTTGCAAAATTCTGAAATCTTGGTTTGAAAAATAGTAACTAATAAAAAGCTTTTTTTTTTTTTTTGCTTATTTACTGTCTGCTTCAGTAGTTTGCATCTCCTAATGAAATCTGAGTATTTAAAGGCAATCCCAATGATTAATTTATTGACTAAGTTTTACATTTTTATATACTCAGGAAAAAATTACTTCTGTTATAGGGCTTTAAATAGATGTTTATGAGTACAGTGGTACTTTTTAAGCATTAGCTATCTTCCATACATTTTAAGATCCATTTATAAACTGAAACTAACTTACACACTACTTACTTACATTTTTCAAGTATAAATTATGCAAGATCAGTACTTTCAAAAGACAATAGATCTTGTTGGTCCTATGTGTTTTTCATCCTGGGAATATTCTTAAGGGAACTTGCAGAGCAAGAACACCTCTGCCATGATTTAAAGGATCCGAGCAGAATAGAATTTTTCCTAAAATACTGGGCACAGAATCCTGACTTGCAGGAAGGGTGCTATTTTGATCTCTGTCAAAAAAAACTAAGTTTTTTTTTTTAATAATTGGGGAAAAAAAAATTCTACTTAACCGCATTGAAAAATCTTTGCTTATTTTAAATATGCCTAATCCTGACATGCCCTTTATCTTAGACCAGAAAAATCAGACAGTGTGAAGTCTAGAAGCTCTAGGTCATTAAGTGCAGTGTTAAGCAAACTAAGTAAGGTATATAGAGGTGTCTGTTAAGAGTGAAATGTATCCATACAGCAACAGCAGTTTACTGGAAGCTAGGTGAAGGCTGCAGAAACAAAACTTGGAAATTGTTGGAAAACTGTCATATTTTGTGTTCAGAGTGAAGAGAACAATGCTCTCTTGTGTCCTTCTTCCCAGTATAAATACAGATATTATAAAATAAGTACATAAATTCATTTGAAAATATTGAGGGATCAGAGTCTCATATTACAAATTCTTTATCCATTTCTTGAAATGGATGAGACACGCCACTGTTCAATGTAAAATAATGGTCTGAATAGAACTCTTGCACATAGAAGAGCTCATTTCTAAGAAGCTGTAGTTAAGACTTAACAAAGCAATACATTGAAAATTGAAATATTAAAGTTCATTTTCTTTTTGTTCTCAAGAAAATAAGGCTGCACATTTGCTATCACACTATTATTTGCATACAGCATAGGGAGAAAAATCTGTAGTGCTTATGCTGGTTAAAAGAATCAGAAGCTTGTACCCTGATTTTTTTTTTTTTTTTTAAAGCAGTTTTGTTTCAGCTGGAAATTTTTTCCCGACTATCTTGCTCAGTTTCCTCTGTGTATAAGCTTTATTTTCTCTTGGTGATGTGAAGTTGAGAACAGTTCTTGGTTGAGCTGACAATTACTTACCTGAGGCATGTTAAAATTTCTCTCGCTTGTCCTATTTGTGGAAATAAGAGTTTTAACTGTTTGGAATGGTGAGATAAGTAATAATCTTTCCTAAATAATTGCTATGTAGCTAAATTAATAAGCTGTTTTAATACTGAAAATCTTCATCCTGAAAGTTAATGTGATTTAATAAGCTCGGACATGCAAGTTGACACTGACAATATCATTAAAGACTGAAGGATACATACCTGAGTAACTAGTAAAAGCTGATGCCATAACTGACTACACTAATCATAACTATAAACATTGTCATTTCAGTTTGCTGCTATAGGTCCAACAACTGCTCCAGCCATGGAAGCAGCAGGAATCACAGTTAGCTGTACCGCAAAGAATCCAACTCCCCAAGACCTCGCTGCTGCAATACAAAGAGCACTTCAACAGAGCTGCTGTTTATCCAAATAAGAGCACAGCATGTATTTGAGACTGAACATAGTGCTGTAGAAGCTTTTTTCATTTGCAGATCTGCTATCCTGCAGGAAAGTGTTTTTCCACAACTATGCAACACAGTCCTTGTCAGGGCTTACTGTAAGCAGCTTGCGTTGAAATGCTTAAGAGGAGCATTTGGTACAGCATGTCTTAAAGCAACTAGCTTTTCCCCTTTCGCTCATGCCTGCAAGTTGTAAGTATTTTATGTGGGTATTTCTGTGAAAACTAGTAGTGAAAGGTGAATGTGCATCAGAATGGTATAATGAAGTAAGTCCAATATATCACCTCAGGTACCTAGTACACAAAGTGAGATTTTCCTTTCTCTCTGTAGTCCTTTTTACATGCAGGTCGTCTGGTTTATGTAAAAGACTAGCACGCTTACAATGAAATGTTTGTGGTTGCAAAGCTCACTTGTTCAGTTGTTATGTTTTTCAAATACTTATATTATAATGACGATCGTAGATTCTCAGTGGAATAGAACAACTCTTGCAGCATTTCTGACTTGCAGGTCAGTTATTGCCACTGACTATTCTTAGAGTGCAGGGTCCTAAAAAATTAAGTTTTGGTTTCTATTCCTGTAAAGGAGGAGGATTTATTAACAGAGAAATAAACTGGCTCATCATTGTTAATAGTGGTGTTAGAGTTGCCTGTTTTGGATGTAGCTTATGGTTTAATTGTTTATCTATGAAAGGAGAAAAAGTAATCCAATTTAGCACTAATGCTACCTTCAGCTAATGCTAAGAAGTTCACAGAAGATTTAAATCATAATATACTCAATTATAATCTTCATGAAAGTCATTCATGTCGTTAGTATAGTGCTGAGGTTCCTAGAGCAAATGAGGATTTCTCTATTATTCTAAGTTTCTATTAGTTTAATTCCAAGAATATGACTTGAATTTCCAATTAGTTGAGAACCTCCATACCTAGAATAAGAGTTAATCTGAACCGAATTATGTTAATATAAACTGAAGTAATTTGAAATTATGTACGTGGATTTGTCAGCCAGACGGGGCACAATAACACTACCATTTTGCTTTACAGAGCAGTTCAGAAACAGAATTTCAGGAGTATACTAGGGGCTGGCAGATTTGCTCCCTCCCTGCCCTCCCCCTCTCTGGTGTACTGAAATGCCTTACAAGGAACAGTCCTAAAATTGCTCTGAAAAATAACGCTACACAGTGGTTTTTTTTTTTTATCATTAAAAAAAAAAACTGTAAGACACTAAAATTACTATGGTAACTGGATGTAGCTGCAGGAGTCTCAAGACATGCCCCCAAGGAGAGCAGGAAGAGAATAATTAGGAAGCAATTGTTGACCTTCTCTGCCACTTGGTTTTTAAGACGATTGCAGTAAGTCAAGCTGTTTAACATTCAGATTCAACTGGGTAGTATAGAATATGCAATACCGTTCATCTCTTTCAAAAATAAATCCACAGCAGATTGAGGATTTGGAAATGTCTTCAAGTCCCCTGAAGTACCACTCGTATCTCTAGATTCTGAAATACGTGACAGCTTGGAGAAGATTTGTGAAAGCTCGTTCCTGGGGGCAGGGGAAGAAGGGGAGAGTGGGCCAAGGGGAAAAGAGAGCAAGAACTGGAAACAGAAGCCATTCATATTTACTTGTGCTCCCTTGCGCTATTTAAGTATGCAAACAGAAAAAAAGTGTATCAACAAAAACAAACAGAAACCATTATATTACCAGAAAATCCTTTTACTAGGACAGTTCATCCTTAACAGGGACATGTTTTAAAGATATATGGCAAATTTTTTGCTAGTGTATGTTACATCTAATTATTTGTCTCAGGCTTAGGCCCATTTCTACACTTTTTTCCAGCAGAAACTTATCAGTTGTTATTATTTCTGAGTAACAGATACTTGGTGCATTTCATATAACAATACAAAAATGAGACTGAGGGCTCTGGCAGCAAAGCAGGTTGCCTTACCTCTGCCAAAACAGCAAGTGTGCACATTCTTGACCTGTGGCAAATACAAGCTAACTCAAAGGATGTGCCCTACAATAAAAGAAGTGAAACCTAAGTCAGGTCTCCCTGGCATTTGCTATGGAATAAGGGGGCCATACGAATAGCTGCTGGGACTCCGCTGACATTATGTCTGAACCTGTAATTCAGACATACTCACAGTTTGTCAATTAGCAGACCACATCAACTATATTGCTTGGTACTCTATGTATAATAATGTATTTCAGTAAAAAGAGAAAAGGGAGTAGAACTGCAGCCGATGGAATAGTTTCTTACCCAGTTCCAGACACATCGCTTATGTAGGTCCAGGCCTTGCTTGGTTTCATCCAAGGAACCTTTCCACGGGTGAAACAACCATTCCAGGACCTAAGCTGCCACTGAGTTCTCCCCCAGTTGGGGGTGAGGAAGTCATCTTTTTCCTCTTAGAAGACCTGCACTATATTCCCTACAATAGGCTTTTTTTTTTGGTTTTGTGTTTTAACAGCTAAGACCTGCCATTGGCATACTCTAGAGGAGGCCTCTTATCCAACTGCACTAGCATTCCTGAACTAGACAGGGCTTAAGACTTTTACTAATAAGCTATTGAACGGATTACAGACCTGATCTATTCTACATGACTCAGTGAAGCACTGTAAAACATTACTTCCATTTAGTTACAAGAAAGCAAGACGAGCTTACACAACTTTCCCCCCCCCTAAAATCACACTAACAGACTGTTATTACAATAAGAGTTCTTGGTTCTCAGGGCTTACGCTGAGGGTCTTAAATTAGCTGACAGCTACATGCCAAATATTAAGACTCTACAGAAGTACATTAGTACTTCTGTAGCTTCTGTAGTATATTAGTAGCTACTTCTAAAATCAACAGGACGGGGGAAGGTGTAAAGGGCATTTTCTTTTGACTCCTTTTTACAGTGCTCATTTTACATTCCAGTATTTTTTCAAACTGCATAACAATCTCCCTGCTCCCTTTCCACGCCTCTTCCTAAATTGCTGCTTGTATACCAGTTTTCTCTGGATACAGCACTGCCTTCAGCATGGATCTGTGCAATGCAATACTTGTAAAATGCACTCAGGCAGACAAAAATCTCTTCTTGTTAAAAGCCCATTTAAGCGCCTATTTCAGTCCCAGGAGGACCACAGATATGTTCTAGTCTTACACTTTTCTTTGGAACGGACCTTTTAGATTTTCCCTATTGAAGTGAAAACTCTAGTGGTGTATGCACTGATCTTAAGATAGCCTGCTAAATCAGACATCATAAATGGGTTTTCAAGCTAAAATTTTCCCCTCACCATCAGGAATCTAGTGGCAGAGTTGGACCAGGAGACTCAAGTCAGTTCCCTCTTCTCTGCATCTAAGCAGAAACTTCTTGCCGTGGTCTGGGCTGTGAAGGCCCAGAGCACTGCTAGGCTTCGCTGCCCCTGGGCTGCTCCCCTGCCTCGCAGCAGCTGGCCAGCAGAACAGCAGTTAAACTCTGCAGAGTCTAAAGACTTAGACTTTGCCTCCAGCAATCTCCCCAAAAAGGTCTGGAGTGCCTGAGACTCTTGGAGCATCAAAGACTGTACAAGAGTCCATCCCTCCTTCTGCTAAGAGGAACTGCCAAGATCTGGCCCTGATTACAAAACAGGAAACAATCTCATTTGCAAAATTTTGCAGAGAGCAAGCCTTGCTCCATATAAAAGTGGCTGCTTACCATAAAGTCTCTTCCTTTCATCAGATTTTTTAACTGTACTTTAAAGTCCAACAAGTCATGCTCAAAACATTTGTCAAAGAGCATGGCAGCATTACTTGCACCAGGGGTAATGATTCACCAAGATCAATGACTGTCAGTGGCAGCCAAACGCATGACTGACTTCCACCCTTGAGTTCATGCTCTTGGCCATCTCAGTTACAACCTCAGCAATTTCTCCATCACATGCCACTACTAATGGCTGAGCAGACTTAAAGGATTGTTGTCTCACCTTCCCACTTAGATTTGCTATAGCGATTAGAAAGACACTGATACTGATCTCCAGTAGTCTTGCCTAGTTACCTCTCAATTCCTTTGCTCTAAAGGCAAAATTTTATCATGAACATATTTTTTCTGTCTCTCACCATTGCTAGATTTCCTGATGATACTCATTTCAAGCCTAGTGCTTCTAGTCATCTTACTTCAGAAACCTACTGTGCAATTTTCTATCTCTGACCTCACCAACAGCCAGGAAAGTGTATGTGGTATTGCATATATTCAGCCCCAACAGAGAAGGAAGGAAAAAACACAGAAAGCTAAACTGCTGGGGTCTGCCTCCCCCACCCCCAACCTTTCAAATCATTCACTCAAAATCAGAAGTCACATAGAACAGATACACAGTAAGCCTGTTATCTTTCATCCTTTCACAAGATGCATTTAATTTTTTCAGGTGCATTTGTACTTTGCGTTGCACCAAAAAGATGAGGCTTGTTCTCAAGTCGGATCTAAAGGGCACTTGCAAAAAGCACACTCAAATTGCCAGGCTGGAGATTTGCACAAACTGGGTTTCTGCGATAAAAGAACATGCCCACTACAAAAAGCTGCATTCCATATCTTCTAGCAGGGCAGTTAAGAATTGCCTCCTTAAAATAAGCAGCTTAAATACTTAAACGAGTACTTAGAAAGACACTGTTAGTGATCTCCAGTAGTCTTGCTTAGTTATCTATATATAAGTATGCACACACACACACATCTTCTCTTTAAATGCCAGTTAAATGTATCACCTAAAAGGAGCTATACTTTTTATTTGCAGAAAAAAAAAAGTCATTTATTGGAGGAAAAAAAGGGGGAAAGGGACCACACTTTCTGTTTTCCCTAAGATATCAAATGCATTTCCCATTACCTTCTTCTCTCATTTACAGGAGGCAGCTCTGAAGGAAGAGGTTACTTAAGAGAATTGGTAGGTCTTTATAAACAGCGACTTTTGTCAAAAAAACCACCAGCTTGGCTAAGCAGACCTCAGGACTGAGCTCCAATGCCAAAAGGCAGTAGACAGGGTGGAAGCGAGGACAGGGTACAGAAACACTGCTGGGACACGCAGGGATTTGTTGAGTAAACCAAAGCTCAGCTAGCATTGACACTAGCAAAGGGCATCAAGGGCCACAAGAGAAGCTCCCGCTGCTAAGTTTGCAATAAAGAACAAAGGAGGAAGACACAGGAGCGCTGCTGAACACAGTGATTGATTTAATGGCGGCAGTGCCATAATGAGGCTGAGATGTCTTATTTGCCTTGACGTCACTAATAACGTCTTCGAGGACTCTGTGTAGAAAGAGGGTTCAAGGAGGAGAGGAACTACCAGTAAAGGAAGAGGACTGAATGAAGGATATCTCGAGAAATCTCAAACCACACAAATCCATAGGACCAGACAGGATGGATCCATAAGATTGGGGGCAGGGGGAAGGGGTTGAGGGTGGAAGAGTACTGTCTCATTCCAAAACAGCTTAGCATAAGAGCTTTTCTGGTGTTCAAGTTAATCACAAGCTTCTTGTATTAATGAATAGCAACTGGGTTTTCATCACATAAGAAACAGGCAGTTCCCATTGTAATTCTTAAACCCAGCTTACATTTCCTTTGCTGCCACAAGGGCAGCTAAAGCACACTTTGGAAACACCAGTCTACACGCAGTTATGGGAGGGAGCCTACTCCAGCCACAGTTCAACAGCAAATGAGCTGTGTTAGACTGCTCCTAAGTAACCAGCATCAATCGCTCCTGGTTTTAGCCCCAGGCTCTCACTGTATTTAATGAAATAAGAACTAGTTGTTTCTTGTCAGGGTAAAAATGGAACTGGACCACATAAGAAATCAGTTTGAGAGGGGAAAAAGAGGTGCATTTTTCTTTTGCAAAAGGAGAGGTACATTTTCCTTTTGCTTTACCCATCTGGGGAGGACCTTTCTACCATCTGCCTGAATCCCAGAGAAAGCATCAAAGCAGTCTGTTAGGGGTTTTCTCCTTAGCAGTTCTGACTGTGGCTTCATAAGCATGATCAAAACAGAGTTTGATGTTCAGTTTAAAATCCTAACAGGTAAAAGGAATTTTCAAGATATAACAATACCTTTATGTGTGCATATATATATGCTTTAAAAAAAAGTATTTAACCAACTCAGCTGTAAGTAAAAAAAATCTAACCTTCTTTCCAGAAGTCAGGGTATTTTGATATGAGAGGCAGGTGGGCTGACTCATGATTTGAGGCTCTGAAGCAAACAGTAGTTTATCTACTAGTTTAGGGAAAAAAACTAGACATCTCGAGTGTCAAAGCATTGATCTTGAAAACACACCTGCCAAATACTTAAAAGGGTCTTCAGTAAGAGGGAAAACAGGCTCTAAGCATTTCACCATCTCCCACATGCTCAGAGACTGAGCAGAGCACGCGTTTCAAAGTTGGCAATTCAAGTCAGAAACTAAAGCAAGAAAGTTTTCTCCCTCGGCCTCTTTTTAGTTAAAGAGGTCTAATTTAGATGGGTTTTCTAAGTGTGTATATATGTATAAAAATGCATATGTATATTTCTCCTCTAAATTCAAGGAGAAAAACAAAAAGGAAAAACTGGACTTCAGTCACAGTTGAAAATGCCTGAAGATAACCTCAGAACAGGCACTGTAAGCTACAGTTGAGGGAAATGAAAAATGAGGCTCGTTACGTAATGGTTCAGTCTGTGTATAACTTAAAATAAAAGAAACAGGAGTAGAGAGGTGCGTTTGTCTGTTCTAAGGTACCTGTGGTAAAGAGTGAATCATTAAAAAAAGGATTAAAAAAAGAGTCAAATCTGAACTAGCAGAGGAGAAAGCAACAGCTTTCCTCAAAACCACAGACGTGAAATGGTACTAGTGTTCCTACTCCACATAGGAGAGCTAATGCTTTCTCAAGCATGAAAACTGGAGGCAGTTTGTGTTGCAGTATCATAGGAGTACTTAAAATGTTAATTTGTGTGATTAAAATGCATGCCAGAAGAGACATTCATAACCCATTACATTCTGAGTTCAGAAGACACCAAGTCCTCTAAAATTTAACAGCCAGTCTTAATCTGCACATCTGTGTTCAGGACAGATAAACACATTCAGGTTGTTAATTATAACATAGTTGCAGAGAGTATCAAAGCCAGCCTGATAGCAGAATAAGAACATTCATACCTTTTCCTGAACATGAGTTTCCTACTTCCTTGGTAGGATTCAAAGAGCCTCCCCAAAACAGAGTTGCAAAGCAGAGCAACTGATAGTTTGAAAGCAGCAGATGGAACGGCACTAAATACTATGCATGGCCTGTACAATGCAGTTTTGCTAAGAAGAATGAAATTTTGTAACAGGTAAATCTGCATTCCACAGGTTTTGTAGGGAATTCGCAAAACAAGTGGTAAATGTTCCATTCACTTCAGGGCCTTCCAAAGCAGAACTACAAAGGAACAAGATTTTAAAAAATTGTTTCTGAGCAAACAGCAGCTACGGGAGGCACAGGCTAATACTCATGACAACCTGCAACTGTACTGTAGCAGTGCAATATACTTTAAGCACTCTACTGTTTAACATTTATTTAAAGCTTTTATGTCATAAAATTATAAAACTGAGCTTCCAGTCTTGTTTTGATTTAGGAATATTAGTAACAGGTTATCTAGTCACCCAAATATACAGTGTATATTATGAGATCATTGTACAATAGTGAATCAGTTATTTTTAGAACAACATTAAGACATCAGATGTTACATTTTGTGAAAATCTGATCTTTAAGCATACATATTTCCAATAAGCAGAGTCCTTACATGGCAAGATAAGACTGAACTCATTTGTTAAGCCTGATTTTTACAGATTTTTTTCATGCACTACGTTAAGGAATGAGGCTCTCGCTACTGTTTAAAAGGTTTTAATTCCGTTGAGCAGTTTGCTTCTCTGATGAGAGCATAAGGGTCACAACCAATAAAAACCACAGACTAATACATGGGCTTATATTTAATAAATAAAAATTTATTAAAAATATGCTCTCATTTATTCACAGTTTCAAGTCTGAAAAAGATAACACTATTCTTGATCAATTCAAACAAACAAAGCTAAAACCATTCACTTTCTGGTGTAAAGGAAATCCCAGTGATGGCTAATATTCACAAGAGTCTTGCATCAAAGCTAGAAAGGCACGTACTTTTGTGCAGGATAGTAACGGTAGAAGAAGTGTGTCCACATATTCAAGAGGAATTTTCTTGTACTACTTCAGTTCACATTATTGGCTAAAGTGTTCCAATAAAGCTTTGCTTACAAAGTATTTTCATTAAATATCAAACCAGAGCAACTGTGAGATTACATTTTTATGCAGAACATTTTTATCACTGCAAAAAAAGCCCATTACCTTTAAGAGAAAATTGAGAATTTCTCCAAAAAAAAGTTTGCATCTGGAACCCCAGTTCAGCATTTCAAATGAAGAAACGCTAGTAACCAAACTATTACAGAGCTATCACAGAATAAGAAGCAATTCCTGTTCTTTCCCAGATGTAGAGTGTAACAATGTAGTAAGTTCTCCCCTGCAGTAAGTTTAAATATTACATGGGGTGGGGGGGGTGGGGGAACAAACCACTGATCCCATGCATAGCAAGGCACTGTTTCTGCTGTTTTGCAGCATTTTAAAGTCACTGAATTCCTACATTGCTGGCTTCACTATTTTGAGTCAGTTGATCCAGTAAACTTAAGATTACCTCTGTTCGTTCCAGCAGAGTCATGCTTTTGTTGGCAGTTGCACGCAACAGCAGGGAGTAAACTTGCTTGTTTGTTTTAAGAACTACTTCTTCTTCATTAATGCCCCTAAACAAAATAGAGATAGAGCTATTAAACTGTACCACCACGTTTTATTCTGCAAACTATCAAAGCGATTATTCAACAATAGCATTGATCACTCTTTCTCTGAAACGACACGGGTGGCGTTTTGATTTCTGGGTCTGTTACTTCCTTAGTTCCTACTGCCTACCATTTTACAGCATTGTAGTCAGAGTCGCTGTTCATACTGCAGAAGGAATGAGTTCCAATTTTTCCTCAGCTCCGGTCTGTCCATATAATTAACTCCTAATCCCAAATCACATCCTAACCCCTCCAGTCAATGTCTCAATACCAATTCTCCATACTTTCGTCTAAATCAGCGTCTATCTTGATCATACCTAATGCAAACAGATACCTGAACATCCATGAGATGCCAGAGGGAGAATCAGAAGGTTTTATTTGCGCGTGCACCAGTACCTGCCATTAATTCTGCCCTCTAAACTACGACAGGCATCACCTTCCTGTTCAAGTCTGAAGCCCACCATTTGGCCTTCTGTAAACTGTTTCCAGAGGAGAGATTTTTCTGTGCACAATACCTATATGCAAAAGAACTTCTCTTTTGCTACTTAAGTCTGCACTTGAGGTCCTCAACAATTTTTTCTCATTTGACAAAAGTCACTGTAAATCACTTACCACAGAAGTGCTTGGCTTATTATGTCAATGTGGTCACCCTCCCCTCTTGCCACCCAAAAAATCCTAACAATTAAGTTGGGGGGAAGAGTGCTACCATTGGTATCGTAAATAAAGAGTTTGTGTGTAAGCAGCAGTCAGTTTAATTGTAAATGCTTCAGAAATCACTGAGAAACCATGAAGCAGTTAAATTCATAATGCTTGGCAGAAATCAGAGACAGGTTTATTACACAGAACAGGTAGTCAATAAAGAGCCAGTGAAATGCAAAGTTATTTCCAGGATAAATTACAAGAATCCCCATAGTTAAGTATTACTTTCAATTACTGCTTTCCTCTGATTTACATAGTCAAATTCAGTTACGCTCATGTGTTTAACTTTTAGAAGGTAAAACTGTGATTTCATCCAGTTTTATTGCTAATATGCAAGTTTCACTACTGAATATTGGTTATGTGTTCCTCTGCTCTCTGCCAAAGTGCATCTGAGACCCTGAAATAGCATTTGCAAGTTCTAATTTCCTCTCTTTTCAGCCTGCCCGTTATTAAAGCGGAAGGCAGACATTATTTTCTCCTTCCACAAAGCAGAACTGAGGCAATGTAAACAAGACATGCACAGGAAATATTAGAAAGGTTAAACAAAAAGTAGACTTAAGCTTAGCCTCAAACCACCTTTATGTTAAAAAAGTTAATATGTTACAGCAACAATCCTATTTCATAGTATTCATATTAAGACTGAAACACGTTCCCTATGTAGGAAATCTTCATTGTAAAACCCCATTCAAGAGAGATTATGATGGCAAAATACGTTTAAAAAACAAAAAAACCCAAAGATTTTGTATACAATATATACCCAGCTTATGAGACAATAGAACTGAAACAATTGCTAGTACTACTCAATTATTAGGGACATCTACTTGGTTAGAAATGAATTATACTTCCCTAATCCTCTGCATTTCACACATTCAGATTGCCACCTTGTGGAAGCTTTTCTTTAAAGCTGAATGCACCCAACAGTGCACTTAAACCACTGCTTAAGAAAAGAAAAAAACACAAAACAAAACACCACTGCAACTTACTGTGCAGAACAATGAATTAATTTCACAGTTACATGCTTTGCATAGCATCAGCAATAGCAATAGCATGTTGCTGTAGCTTCTATAGTCAAACATATTGGCTACCGAGAGAATAAAAGGTCACTTTTGGGATCCAGACAGTACAACACACACATTCAGATCTACCTGACAGAAGCGATACTGGTGTAAGGAATCACATTACCATGACTAATCACAACACTTGAAGGCCAACACAAAAAAGAGAAGCCGTGTTTGCTCTGAACCCGCAGCAGCAAGACAGAAGATTTCTTCATTACATTCCACTAGGCACTGGCAAATGCTTTGTATGAGTATTTTCTCCATGCACGTTCTTCTCTATTCTTAGCGCTAGTGACATTCCTACATTTATTCTGCAGTACTTTTCATGCTAAAATATGTTGTCACTGGTATCTTTTATCATCAAGGTATATCAGAAGATCAGTAGTATGCAGGAGTTTCTCCCCCCTACCAATTCTAACTTGCTCTGTCACAGATAAAGACCAACATCAGCAAAATTAAGGAAAAAATGCACATGTACATTTCAGACAACTATTATTATTAGGGAAATTATTATTTTCCTACTTGAATACAGTCAGTATGATTTTTTTTGTCTCTGCTTAGTCCTGGACTCCTATCAGGAAAGGACAGATTAAAAAAGCTGTCTAGTCATACACAGTAAATAGGCTTCTTGGGTCATTCCCTCAATTATACACAAAAATCACACATAAAACATTTAGACTTTGGATGATCAAAGCACATCTCAGCTCTTCCTACACACAGGAGAGTCAGTTCCAGAAAAGAATTTAAGTGAAGTAAACATCACATTTCCTTGCATTATGCCCAAGTACATACTTTGCAGATGTACAAGAATTATATCTGAACAACACATTTTTTCCCAATGTATATCAAGGTTCAACCTACCCAATTTTCTTTTTTGCTGAAGTTAACAATTTAACAGACTGTAGGAGAAGGAATGACATTCTGGACTCAAAAATACTAAGCAGTTTCAATACTTCCTCTTGGTTAAGGCCAGTGGAGGAATCATTAGCTGTTGTATTCTCAGCATTACTTTTATCCTTGCTCAGCTAAAAGGAAAAAAAAAAAAAAATCATTTCACTCAACTCCATCATCAAAAGCTGTTTCAATTAAGCTGGAATACCGCATTTGCTCTTTGTCTTACTCTTTAGAAGAGTAGTACCAATATCATAATTATGGCGCCCTATTTAAGGGGCTTCAGTAATTAGCATTATATCCCACACTGTTTAGAAGTTATGCCAGCTGCCTGTGCTCTATAGACCATGATGTTAGGCTTTAGTGAGGAAAACATGGACTCAAATAGATAACAGATGAACATGCGCCAGTAAGTAGAGTGGGTAATTATTTATTTCGACATCAAGCACCTGTTAACACTGACTACTGATAACCCTCCACATTTTAGTATTTTAATATTAAATATACTATATGTGGAGAATTCCCATTTATGTTGTATGTGAATCTAAGTTCTTTAAATGGACTTTTAAGAGATAATATACAGTTCTATATAACCCAACGTAATCAAAAAGAGTCAGCACATCTCCATATATAAACATGTTTCAGTCAATCTCTGCAGCACAGGGCAATTCAGAAGTTCAAACAGTACCCCTATAAAATGTTGTCAACTTTAGTAAAGTGTTTTGCATTCTGTTCCTAAGATTACACTAAAAAAAACCAAACAAAAAACACACACACACCCCTCTGCATCCAGCATATCAAGAAATGCTGGATGCACACTTCTAGCTCCATCACCTGTCCAGCCACCACAGTATGGCATGAAGAGACAGAACCTTTAACACAAACTCAAAGAAAGGTAAGTTCTAAAGTATTTTTTTTAATCCAGTTCCATTTACTGCAGCAGGTCCAAACCCAGTTCATACTGTTTAGCATCTAGCTTTACTGAAAAATAACCACGCAACATCTTACTTCCCAATTGACCAGTTTTACGTGAATGCACAAGATAAGGGAGTAGATAATCAGATCACTTATCTTTCATTTACCTGTTCACACTCTGCTGCAAGCTCTTTTCTGATGAGCTGAAACGCACACTTAGTTTTCACCATTATATCTAGGGCGCCAAATAAAGTCTTTAATTTCCCAGCATTGCTGTTCTGACCTTAAAAAAAAATTTCAAGAAAATGAATAGCTTACATTCCAGCACATTTTCTTCCATTCAAAGATTAAGAGTTCTCATGAGAAAAGGTCTGTACTGTTCCAATCAATTGAAAACCCATAAGATAAAAGCATCTTTCCTCTCTTTGGAAGACAACTGCATTTTGGAGAAGCAGACTATTCCCGACTTCATAAATAGAATATCAAAACATAGAATAAAGCAGTTTTTTGATATTTTGGACAACTGTTGTAGAAAGATCAAGTTAGACTTACTCGCCATTTGAAATTCTGCGAATGCCACTCTTTAATCTTTCCAGTTGCACACGAAGGAACTCACAGGGTGCATCCTTTAAGAGCTGGAAGAGTCTTACTGCTTTACTATAATGAAGATCAGCAAGGACACGATGTTGTTTCCTCAAATGTTCATCACCAACCTGCATTCAAAGTAGGGTACATAAGTCTCTAGACAATTTATATGTTCATGAGAATCATTAAAACAAATAAACCTAATTATAGAGAACCTGAAGCACCAATAATCGCTCCCCAGCTCATTCGAAAATGGTTCATCTAAACATCTGTACATTTCTAGAATATGTCACTAGACTGTCAAAGTTACTATATTTTCCACAAGCTAATCATAAAGAACAATTAAAAAAAATCAGTGCATGGTTGCATGTTGCTTTCTAAGTTTTTCATCAATCATATGCAATCAGCCTGCTGCTAGAAAGCAAGCAGAAGTATGAGAAGAGTAGCATAGAAGCAAAATAAAACCTTAGGAGAATATTTTTCATCAACCACTTCCATTAGGGGAGCGTGGAAGTGCCTAGAAGACATGGAATCCAAAGGCTCACTATGTTTTGCAAACGACAGTCTGCTCTCCCAAGTAACTGTGTGCTTTACAATGATTTGCAAATAAATCATTTAAATATATCACAGCTATAGATAGAAGGATAAATACCAATTTCCACACAGACCACACCTTTCAAGGATACACCTTCAAAAAGCCTCAAACAAAAGTTTGTACAAATACCTGGTTTCTCAGGCAACTATGATACATTGAAGCAAGCCTGTGGTGGATGGTTGCAGCCCGGTATTGACAGAGAGGCTGTCGTGGAGACACTGTATCAACATCACAATATTTCAAAGATTTCATCATGGCTTCACTAACTTCCTTTTCTATCTACAAGGGAAACAAAATGATGTAGCGTGATTACTTTGAAACAAGAACACCACTATGTGAAAGCATAAGGGTTTAATCTTTAGCTCTTACTTAATGAAAAGACAAAATACGTACATGACTAGACATGTTATAGTTTGCAAGAACTACTCCCAACAATTTTTTTATCCAATACAGGCTTAAAAGTTAGCCCAACATCATGAACCAAAACATAAAAAACTAAGCTGCAAGCAAAATTGATGAAGCTTTTTATCAGTTGTCACAAATCCTCTATTACCTGTTCCTGGGCCTTTCTAGATAACGGAGCATAATCCTGCTGTAGAGTTGCCATAGTAAAATATGTCGTAGAAAGCTCCCAGTTTACAGAATCCCAAACAGCTGGATGCATCTCTCTCTTACCTAGAGATCTTAATGCCTTCAGATAGTAGTCAATAGCCTATAGATTATAAAATAACAAATACAGTTACTGCCTATATTTATATCCACTAGAAAACCACTCCCCTTTACTCTTCCTTAACGAAAGAATTCAAATCATATTTGAGCCCCTTTCAGTATTTTCCTTATACCCATTCATAAGGTTAATCATAGCCACATGTTTCAATCTTCTGTGTTTACCAGCTGCAAAACACAATACAGGACCTGAAAAACCACAGCACTCAGAGGGATGGAATCAAGCCTAAACAACAGCATGAACAGAATCTTCTTAATCTTCGAAACCATGAAAAACTTGCATTTGTGAAACCAAAAATAGTTTCCCTCTGCACTCATGAGGTGTAGCTATCTGAACAAAAGTCTTATCAGTCATCAGCCCATCTCTAAAACAGCTCTGTAAGCATGCCGTGAACTTTGGGAGATCAAAGCGCAGGAGAGTGCTGGAAAACCAGGATGGGACAAAAGATTCCTAATTAACATTTCAGCAAATTAAGTCTTAACTTAACTTACAAAGGAAACAATGCAGCAGCTAACTCTGTGCATACAATAAAGTGGAGAAGAAAGGGAACAAGAAGAGCATGCAGGTAGATCTTTTGCTTCAGGGCTTCATTGAAGCACCCTTCCTCCCCCACTATTTTAAAGAGCAAAGCCAAAGTTCTACCACTGCCATATCTCAGGATCTTTGTATGTACTTTGCAAAGTCCAATTTGCCTAATTAAAATAAAGTAATTGTAGGTAGTTACTGGACAAGCAAATAAAATATCCTAAGTGCTAATATTTTCCTAAGGAAGAACCAACTTTAAATTATTATTACCAATTCTCTTTTCCAGGTACGCTAATTTTTGCTCTCTCCTCACTATGATACTAAGCCATCGAGGACCAGTTAAAGGTATTCAGTGGCATTTTAAATAGGTTTTCTTTGTTAATTTATCTGATTTTAGGTCATGGGCACATCGTAAGACCAAGGAAAAGAGTTCTCATGTTTTCTGAATGATTACATGCTACAAAACAATAAAACCTGTAAGTGCTCAGATCAGCAGTGCAACACAGCAAATTGCAGCTTTAAAATGAAGTATTTATATTTAAAAAGCTAAATAGTTATTTTTTCAGCTAAGCTTCAAGCCTATTTAGTTAGTATTAGAAAAATGGGGGAGGGGGAAGAAAGATATCACAAGTTATTAATTATGACTTGTCTTTACAATAAAGTAAAATTACTTTGAAAACACACATTTGCCTTTGATCACTTGGTTTTCATGTGCAATAAAAAAAAATAGTGGCTTACAGATATTTGCCTTACATACTAAACACGTGAGACCATCCCTTTTATTTTGGGACAGAAGTCTTTAGTACTAATTTGCTCTTAATTCTTACAGGGACAAAGGTAAGATTTCCAGCAGACTGATACTTTCCTCTGTGTTTTAATTAATATGAAGTCAGCACTTTTGGAACCTCCTATAATTTTGCAGTTGCTATATTTAGATGATTTTGCAGTGGAGGCGTTTGCAATTTATCATTATTTAAAGGACCCGAGGATATTTACAAAAATTATACAATAAAGGGCGTACTAGGGTATTCTTAAAATAATTTTAAGTTACCTTATTATAATAAAGGGCCTCTTCTGGGGAAAACTCTCTTTTGAAGTCACCTTCAGCTGCACAGTGGGCTTGAGCACAAATTCGCATTAGTCTTCCTGTGTTGCACAGTAGAAGAGCAGCATTGGTTGCATCATCAATTGACTCAAAGTTTTGAATTCCTTTTTCAAAACAAGAGAAACTTTTCTTCCAGAGTTGCTGTTCTGCTGTCGATACGTTTTTACTCACTAGGAACAAAATACAAGCCTCATTTCACTCAAAATTCTTAAGCGATCCTGAACAAGCATTTCTACTATTTTTCTCATAAGTTTCTATAAGTGACCTTTCAGAACGTATGGGAATTTTGTAGACCCAAACCACAGAAAATAATTACAAATTCCTCATCACTTAATTTGTGGCTTTTTGACAAACAAATATGAAAATTAGTACCAAAACCACACTATTACACATACTATAATTTCAAAAGAATTGTGATGCAAAAAAAAAAAAAAGAGCGGAGATAACAGGATGAAAGACAATTCAAAGCTATTTCACAGTAATATTTAGGGTATTACAAGTTTATAGAACTACAATATGAAACAATAGCGACTTTTACAGAAACTTAGTATTAAGGATTTGACATCAGCTAAATTGTATTTTGGCAAAATACAGAGATGACGAAAAAAATTGCACAAAGTAACTCAAAATTCTTCAAGTATTAATTGGACAAAGGTCACAGAATAACGCAGGTATTTGAGAGACCCAAGCTGTGTACGATGATGTCTCCCACGGGCACTTAATTTGCTTTAGTTCATATAACTAGTGCTTCTAGACGAAGCTTCATTTCTAGTTTTCCAAGGAAAAGTATTTTTCCTACAGAAAAGGGAACTTAAGTAGCCTTCATTTCAGTCAAGAACAAAATCACTGAGGATTTACCTACAAAACAAACAACCCAAAAAAACAAGAAACCCACACTGACCTCACTGAAACCAAGAGTGCAACACGCTCTGCCTTATATGAACAGAGCTGTTTTAATGCTCCCTTTGTATTTTTGAGGATATTTCACACTTCACAAAAAAGAATCAAAAAAAAAAGAATACTTGCCCGCTCTCTCAGTCTGCACTGCAGCAGCCTGGTTCATGTAGAACACCCCAATTTCATTCCTGATATTGCCCATTCTCTTTAGTACCTGTATGTGCTGCTCCGGATTTTGATTTTTTAAATTACTGAAAAGTAATATTTCATAGGCTGCCTCATAACATTTACAGCTGACTGAAAGTTGGCACTCCAAGTCTGTAGACAAGTCAGTAGCCCATGCAAACACTAGAAAATAAAATGCAAACCCGCACATCAAAAAAGTATTTCCAGAACAGCATCAGTCTACAAAAGACTAGAGGAAAACGCCTAATAAGATGACCTACATCAGAAAGTTCCCCCAATTCCTCCAGATAGACAGAATTTACCCATTAAAAATAGTAATCACTTAGGTAGTCATTTTACAATTTCAGGTATGTCATACAATATTTTCAAGAGCTCCTTACAGGCACAATAAGCTTTCTCTAAAGACAATGGAGCTGAAGCATAACAAGCCCTCCTCCATAAATGATATCGGTGCATGGTTTTGAGGAAATAATGAAATTACTTATGTCCATCATACAAATGAATCAGGACTGTCTGATCTTACATCAGCAGTATCGTACCTTGGCAGCTGGATTCTCTGTGAAGACTGTGTAATATCTCCTGATCTTCTTTTGTCTGGTAGTTATATTCTTCAAGATATGCTGCTCTATTATTTGCATTTTGGGCAAGCATTAACTGGGTATCTCCACAGAGGGTTAAACACTGACAAAGAAATACTAATACTTCAGGAAGCATGCTGGCACAGAGGCAACAGTAGGTATCTATCAGAAACAATAAATCCCATAGGTGAGGGAGGGGAGAGAAAAAGCATTAAGCTTCAAAAGATTCGACACAGGCTGAGAATATGACTAGTTCTTTGTTACTTGCCACATTTATTCTCTATATAAAGACTGAGACATTTATTTCTAAACATAACTATTAAAAAAAAATCACTTGCTCTACACAGCTAACAGTTTCAAAAGAGTAGCTATTTTGTTCAGGGTGAGCAGTGAATCTGATACATTTGAAATAAATAGGTCAAATCCAGATCTCAGATTTGATTCTAGAAACACTGAAAACAACTGAATTTCTACAGATTAACTGAAGTCAGATATGGCCTGAAAAATGAATTCCTAAAAGGTACGGTCTAAACTGAAAAAATGCTTTGTGAGTTAAAGTGAAGAGAGTTCTTGCTTTTACAAGCCTCCCCCCACCCCCCAAAAACCCCTGCAAATATGGGAGCAAGACAGTAGCACTAAGCTAAGGGCATTTTCTAGTTATTTAGTCTCATAATAATATATAAAATAGCCTGATTTCACTTCTTTAGATTTCCTCAGTAATACTTGGAGATGCTTTTCATTTTACAGGAGTATCCAATTAAGCTGGTGAACAAATTTAGTATTTCTGAAAGTCAGAACATGTTTACACGAAATGAGAAATACCAGGCATTCCCAGAGGGAAAACCATGTGTTTGCAGGGACAGTGCTGAGAACACAGATTACTAGGACACAGATGACCTCACACTGGGACTGACCTCTCCCAGCTCTAGTGCTCTGAAGTACCAGATCTGAGCTCTAAATTCTTCACTCTGCCTGTCAAAATGGAAGTACCTTTCTACCACATGGGGACAAGAGATTTACTGTTCCTAGAGACTTACTCTTCCTAGAGGCTCTCCTCCTGAAAAATGAATTAGACACTTAGTTTAACTGAATATACAGTTGTTGGACTTGTCATTGCAAGCCACTAGGACAAACCACACATAACAGTAGTATTTGACATTATGAAGGGTATATATACACAAAACCCCACAGAGGACAAATACATCCTGGTAACTTACCATGGCACTGCAAAGCTAGTTTGATGTATCGTAATGCTCTCCCATATTTCTGCAGACTCATAGCAGCATCAGATAGAACATAATAAGCCCTTGATGACTTCAAAATGAGCTGAAGTTTCATTTTATACTGCCATGATCCAGGAATCATTCCTGACAGACTGGAATGCTTACCCTTCGGAAATGAGCCCACTAGAACACAAACAAAACCCCATCAATAAGTCTCCTTTCCATAGCATGCGCTAGAGGTCTGACCCAACTTCATTGGTTTATAGGTAGTTTTCAAATTGCTGTTGTAGCTCTGCACAAGTAGAGTACGCCAGCTTGCCTGCTGCTACATTTTTCATCTGCAACACTTGGATCTTTTCCCATACGCTTCACCTGATAGCAGGATATTTGAATAAAGTGAGCGCAAACAGTGTCAATGAGGCTAACCTCTCATCGTCTGAATAGCTTTTGAAACAGTGATGCAATGGCCAAGACTATTCTGTTACGTGGCAGTAGAAGAGAACGAGATAAAGCCATAAACAAATATTGATTTAGTTAACAGCAAAACTAACATATATTCGGGTTCTGTTGATACAGAACCCATCAGTGGAGGCTTGCTCAACCTGAGACCATCTTCACCACAGAGGGAATGGATAGCCTAGTCCCTCCTACAAGAAGGACCAATGTCTGTCTTCCTCACACTGGTCTTAAGGCATCTTCAGCATAAGATGGAGGTGGTTGCTTCTTTGATGCTGGAGTGGTTATGGTATCAGAAAGAACACGCTGCTGACTTTAAGCTTAGAAGTCTCAAAATCAAAGACCAGAAGTTCCTTTTAAGATTAGAAATTCAGTACTTAACACCTCCCCCCACACACGCCCCCAAAAAGCAAACAAACAACGTCGCCACACTGGAAAAGCGTAAGTCTCTCCCTTATCTTTCATTTATTTTTCTTCTAGGTTGAATTCAATCTTTATGACCCAAAGCAGTACTGTATGGCCACTTCAGGGAAAAACTTCAGAACAGAACTAAAAATCAAGTCAATATTGCACAGATCTTGCACAAAACATTTTGCTCCCCACATTCCCCAGGAAATATTTGTTTCTAAATAGAAAAAGTTAGTATGTGCACATTGTATTTGCCAGCTGGCAAGCAGCTGAAATGTGTCATCAGTTCCAAGTTGTGAAGACAGAGCCTGGCTCCAGTAAAGCTGAAGTCAGCACGCTACTCTTGCTGAGCTTGACCTCAATAAAGTTTCTCAGTAGATTTCAGCAAAAGTTAGTCACACAGCCCCCACTAACAGTGCTATGCAGAATTTACACCACCTCAACACAATGCAGCTTTCTGATGGAGTTGTTAAATCCGACAGACACAGACCTGAAATAAAGAACCCTAAGGTATTCGTACATCCCTAAGGTATTTGTACATCTCCAGGTCATTGGCATTCAAATGACAACCATAAAACTGGAAGAGAAACCTGAGAACACTTAAATGACCAACTCAAAAGCAAATTTGTTTATTATTTAGTGATTTTTTTCAAAGGTGAAGAAGAAAGGGAAGAATGAGGAATTCTGGAAATATCTGGAAATATCAAAACGTTTGTTTTGAAAAAAAAAAAAATCTTTTTATTATCCTTACAGGGCTTACCACTCTGCAGAGAACTCTATTACTTTCAGGATCAGAAAAGGATTCTGTTTCCCAAACCTCCCTTACAAGGTTCCAGAGTAAGACAAAATAGATAATCACTATAGTCTGAAACTTCTGGAGTTTGAGTATTTAAACTTAGACAAAACATCACTCTTTTCCTTGTAGTTCTACAGTTCTGGAAGGACAGCAGGAAACAAAAATAAGATCCTAGTTAACATTTCATACAACCAACTTCCTACATCATGCTCACAGCTGGATTGCTGGATTCGGAACAAACTGTCAGAGAGGAAAAGTTTTCAGAAAAACTGTCAAATGACAAAAAAAAAAAAGAATGAAGACTGCTTAAAAACAAACCAATAAAAACAACAATCCCCCCACAACTTCAGGGAACCACACACCAAATCTATCAAAACTCAAAATATTAAACCATTACAGAAGTCATTACAAGCCCCATCTAAATAAGACGCAGTAACATTATGCATTTGCTAATAAAAGGGTCTTTGATACGCAAAAATATTCCAACTGTGCTATTCTTTTCATATTTAAAAAGGAATAGACTGTTCTTCAGTTTTGCTTGCATGCTGTATGATTTTTGCTTTTTCCATGGGCAGTGTAATTCGTGAGCTGAGTTTATCATTTTGACAATTAAAATAAAGTAGCAGCAGTTTGCTGTAGCACTGAGAAGGTCTTATTTGCACAACAATACAACTTACTTTTGTCTAAAAATAAGGCCATCTGTTTTTCCAGACACTCAGGACCACCACTGGTGGATTCATCTTCATATTTCAATGGGATTGGGGTGCTGGGGTCAGCTGCAGGAAGGTCACCTTCTTTTTTAATGCTACTGTCAACAGATTTCAAGCCCTGTAGAAAGGAAAAGGACTTGAATTCACCTTGAAAGCAATATTTAGCAAACACAGAACACAAAGAACTAGGTACTTTAAGCAAGGGGAAGTATCAATAGGAAGTTGACAATAAACTTACCTCCAGGACATAACTGAGCACTAGTCTACAACGTTCTTCAGTGCCGTGGCAGACAGGAAATGCACAACTAGGCTTGATAGGGGTGGGAGGGGGAAACAGAGAAAAAATAAAGTTCAAAATACGGAATTTCAATATAACCAGCTAGAAGAAACAAATATGAGTTTGCAGTAAGAGCCATTAATAAAACATTTGAATTCTACACTGAGAAGATCCATAGCAATTTTTTCCCCGTAACTCAGTGAGCAATTCATACACTTGGTCATCATGGTACTATTCACTTGAACATTTCTGCTTAGTCTTTCATGGTAATTCAAAATACAAAGCAAAGGAGAACAGCAGTTTCTACTCCATAATAGTAATTGCAAAAGCAACCAAAGATGGTCTACAAGGCAGGCCAGGAAAAATAAGCGGATTCAATATTATATAGAAATTTTTTCATCCATCTATATATCAAAATAGCCCCTTCATCACCACTGAATGGCTCAGTAGTTGGGAAATTTTTTTTTGCTTTTGTGTTTGTTTTCTTTGGGAGGTGGGGGGGGGAGGGGAGGGACAGCAGAGAGTGGAAAGAAGAAAGGCGAAAACGTAGCGGTCCTGCACCTGTAGAGGTTGATGCATTTTCCAGCTGATGGACCCTGAAGTGTTAAAGATTAAGATAGCAAAAAGAGTTAAAAACAAATCTAGGAAGTCTTGTTCTTTGTTACTCAGTACAAAGAATAGCAAAAAAAAGTGTAATTTTTGACTAATGAGAGTCTTTTCATTTCACAATCAATCATTCTTCATCAACATAGATAGTGACAAGTAAAACATAAGGAAAGCAAAGTGCAACTGAGTTTCATCATTGATCTTCCCAGTTTCTCATCTTGCTCTGTTTCATTATTATAATAATAATGAACAGAAGGTGCTTTGAAGGTAGGAGCATCATAATTCTGTTTATCCGTATATGAGGCACGCTTTTAATGACAGTTTCAGGAGTACTGTCGTTACACTCCAAGCTGTCTCCTTAAAAAACACACACGTGGCCAAAGCAAGTAAAATGTCACCATTTTTGAAAGTTAACTACCACCAAACTGTCTTTTAAATTGAACTGCTGAATTTTGACCAGCTAATGTCGGACAGGCAAATCAGAGAGGGAAATCAAAGACTAAGTCTGTGGATTTGAAAGAAGCAATGTGTCAACAAACTAACGTTACTAACAAAAAACAACAAAAAACCCACCAACAACCTGGGTATTCCTACAATCTTTGGCAATCTACAGCTTTTAAACATGGCCACGGTCAATAATCCTTTCTCTATTGCTATTACAGGAATTATATTCCTGTAGATAGCTATGCAGAGTCATGCCATAAAAACCACAAGTGCAAGTATAAATCTCCCACACTGTAAAATTCAAAGAGCTGAAGTTTTATGAACTGCTCATGAAGAGCTCCCTGTCCTTCAGACTTCAATTAACCCGATACAAACATATGAAAGACTAAAACAAAATAATAACATAACTGAATTTTGATAGCATAAGCTGTGCTACTCAATTGAAGCTTTGAAAAGCAATCCCCTCCATCCCCTCCAAATCCACAACTTTACTTACTCGTATTCGATGAACGGACTTGTATTTTTCTGGTACTGATAACTCTCCTACCGATTTGATTATAGCCACTGCTTTATTGTCATCTGGTGGATCAGAACTGTTACTGTAAGAACCATTTTCATCACTATCTGGCATTTCTTCTTCTTCTTCTTCACTATAACTTTCATCAGAATTACCATTTATAGGGAAGTCTGTACCATCTTCTTTTTTAGGTTCATCCAGCTGAAAAAGTTCTGATAACATGTAGTTTGCTGAAGCAATAATCTTTTTAAAGAAAAAAGAAAAAAGTTACTTTTCTTTTGAGGGACAACATCAGTAATACCTATTTGCCTGTATTGTTTGCTCCTTATCCTAAGACAATAAGTTATTTGATAACCTGTAAATACAGTCTATGGATACACATTGATTTCTGCTCAAGTGATGAATTCTTAACAAAGTTAAGAAAAGAAAAAAAAATCACTGGCAACAGTATACTGTCAAGAATTTGTGTGCACGCATCCCCTATGGTTAGACCTGTTCACATCCTTTTTCATCCCCCCCCCCCCACAACAAAACAAAAAATGAAAATGAAAGGCAAACACTCCAAAGTCTACAGCACAACCTGCCTCTTTGGGCCTTCTGCCTATTCAGACACTCCAGAAGACCTTTCAGGGTCTTCAGCTCTTATTTTGCAAATGAGGGCACATAGGTGCAAATCAGGGAATATAGGCCACCTGTCCCAAGATGCACACCCCAATTTTTCTTATTTTTCTATTTTTATTTTTTAAGTTTTTTGAAGTAAGGGCAGCTCTTCACCCTTATTGACTTCATTTAAGCTTCTTCCTGACCTATTCCTTATTTATCAGCCTCTTTTGAGTTTTACAGATTTTCCCCAAACTGCAGTTGTGCTGCCTTCCAGAAAAGCTTCCACCTTCTCCACTTTCTCCCTGTCCAGGCAAGACAGGTAACATCTGCCATTAAAAATAAGACAACAATAACTGCAGCATTTTCTTAGTCTAAGCTTAGGAGATACATTTTTCCCTGGAGTGCCGTTGTACAGAGGAAAATAGGGAAGTAACGGACACTATGTTCTGCCAGGGCTGAGCATTCTGGGGGGTCTGCGTTTCATTTCTTCCTGCTTCAGACTTCTTAAATTCTTAATTTTACTGATCTGTGTACTTTAATATTATGCATTTTCAGAGATTCAAAATACTTTGATGAATGATAAGATATTAGATAGGACAATTAAAAGCTATTCTGTAGCAGCAGCAACATCCACAGTACTATTTAAGATTTCAAACAGGATCTCAAACAGGACTTCAGAGCTCTGGGAAGGGTGGTGAAGGGTCTGGGAGCCCAGGTTGTTTTCTCCTCAATCTTGCCTGTGAGGGGGAAGGACGGGAGGAGGAGTAGACGAGTTTTCCAAGTTAACAGCTGGCTGCGCCACTGGTGTTGGCAACAGGGCTTTGGTTTCTATGACCATGGGACCCTGTTTGAAGATCAACAGCTGATGGGGAGCGATGGGATCCACCTTACCAAGCGGGGCACGCGTGTCTTTGCCAACAGATTGGCCAGCCTGGTACGGAGGGCTTTAAACTAGGCAAGATGGGGGAAGGGGAGTGGTATAGTGGCAGGGGAGTCAGTAAAACACCGCTCAAGTCAGGATGCCTCCAGCGGGTGCATAC